TTCCTTTTCTCTACCGATCAACAACGAATCCACAAGCGCCGGACGGAGTGTCTCCAGCACGGCCCTATGATGAAACCGGAAGTACCGCATGCCTGCCGACGCCATCCGACCGCGCGCGCGAAGCCTCTGTTGGTGAAAGAAACCGCAGAAATAGGAACACAATTTTAACTGGCGGCATGGGAGCAAAAGAAGCGATCGTTTACACTTGGAACAGAAAGTGCATAGTACGTGACTATCGACAGAGGGCCACGCCAGGGACGGTCAAAAGCAAGCGTGGAAATGTTGTGTATGACGTGATCGCGGGCGCACAGATCTGGGTACTGCGGCATACAAACCAGTTACGAGCCAACATGTGTGCCAACCAGAACAAGCAAGGCCTACCGACTTCCCTGTTCGACTTATTGATGAAAATTTCGACTTGCCGAAGGAAGCAGTGGACGACTGAACACAGTCGAGCAAAGAATGCAGGACACACGGACATCGGCAACACAGTTCACTCAGGGCATTTCATGCCAAGGAGATGGACCGATAAGCAGAGAACATCGTCCCGAAGACTGGAAGTTAATTCTAGGTTTTCATCGTATCCCTCGGACGATATCACAGGAGAGGAGGTGCCCGGGAGGAAGTAAGAATTGCCTGGAAAGTCCATCATTTTAGTGATTTAATCGATTATTAACGACTATCCCATCGATTTCGAATGTTCTGGAGATGAATTTCCAAGTTCCGCACGTGACTAGTAACACCTGGCATGTCGGCTGAGTGTATGGGGAACCGCTACGATTGGTAGCTGTCCCTTCAATCCAGAAGGCGGTCAGAAGAGAGTACTATAAATACAGCAAGGTCCGCGGTAGTTGTGTGTGTTTTGTTGACGGCGGTTAACACGGTATTTTTTTCAAGATCATTAGCCAGTACTGGCTTTTGTCTTCGGTTGGGCTAGAAGTGTTGTGGAGCGAGTAAAGTGCCTATTTCGAATCGCGTTTAGTGAGATTATAATACAAACCGGGTCAACCCAGAATATAGTACCTACCCGAATATACAAAAGATTAATAAAATATCAATTCACATAAATAGCGAACAAGGATTGAGTGCTACAAAATCGCAAACGCACAGTGCGTGCTATTTATAGAAACGTAGGCTAGAATATAAAGGGACTCAAATACTCAACGAATCCCTGTCACAAAGCGATTATCCGTAGGTTGAATCATTACTTTGAGCTATCCCGATATCCTCATTTCGAACTAGGTTGTTTGTAAAGGAAATAGAGAGAGAGAACTAATAGCTAACAGGCTGGTTCAACCCTAAATTATCGGCTCGGAAATAGATAATCCCAAATGTCATCAGTGGCAGCACACCGGTAAGTTGAACTGATGCTTCGTCGCCATACAATTATGATGACGTTTGAAAAAGCGTCACTGAGAGGAAAAGAAAAGGAACCTAGTGTAACACCGAAACGCCTAAGAAAACATTCAGAATCAAGGTGTCTAGATCGTGCCAAGATATACAGTAACAAATGCTACGTCACCGTACGAAGAGGGGGGAGACAGCCCATTGGTGGCGTTTACTGCCGCGCGTTGAAATAAGCCCTATTCCACAAGACTAGGCAACACACACTAAACACACACAGGGTGACTAGAAGACAATAGTGAACGTGCCATTGGTGATGAACGCGAGTCACATCTTGCAAGGTCAAGAACCAACCGAAAGGCTGGCTTGCCTCCTAGTGGTGCCAGCTAGGTCGTTTCGGATCTACCCGTTGTAGCAAAAGGTTCAGCGACAGTGTCGCAGGGCGTGATGGGGATTCGCATCGCAAGCGTTCTCTCTGTAAAAAGGCACATATGTCCGTTTTACGACATTGCGAGGTGGCGAATGTGACTCGCCACTAAAAAAGTCACTGTCCATTGCTTCGCTTTGTTGGAGCATTGTAATCCTACAGCTGGACACTGAATTACTGGGAATATTGGGCCCTTGTATGTCAGCCCGCTAAACGAAAGGCGTATGAACCGAGCGATCAGTCACCGGCTCCCAATAGGCGCGATTCCCTGAATTGGCCTCGCTGCCTTGCGGGTCAGGTCCCTATGACGGAAGGTTCCAGCTTGGGCCTCTTAAGTAAACTCTCTTCCTCGGCCTGGGCTACCGAAAAGCTTTAGGCCTACACAACACATGAAATGATGGATTTACGTCTCTCTGATCACGATTCTCGCTCTCTGGACTCTCTCTTTGGTCGAGGTGCTGGCGGCCGGGCATGCTAAATCTCACTCTACCGCACCGCAAAGTGCCTTTTTCGTCCAACGTTTATTGAACCATCCTATTCTTGGCAACTCGCCCCTCATTTCGAGTCTCCAAAAGTGCATTGCAAATGAAAACGGTAACTTTGGCCTCACCAATGAAACACTAAAAACCGATCGCATACAATCCAATTCCAACAGCAAGGCTTTTATTGCACCCCGCTCGCTCTTGAAGATAGCTACGTTCAATGTTAGAACGCTTATGCAGGTTGGATCACAAGCTGCTCTTTTGAGCACCATGGAAACGTGTTTCACCGACATTTGCTGCCTAACCGAAACCCATTTACAAGACTCCATCACAACGATATGATTGCTCTCACCATACTCAAGTTGCGATTGTACAATCACCTTGAGCTTGTCTGGAGATGCGACAGCGACAGCCTCTGGTTGCGCCGAAATAGAAGTTGCGTTAAGCGCGCGTGCGGAGGCAGCGCTAATTGATTTGGTTCCCGGTCAACAGTCGTCTCTGTGCAACCTACATGGAAAGCTCAGTGGGATCTTCCAGTAGGCGCTACTCATTCATTGTAGTGGAGTACGCTCCTACGGAATGCAGCCCGGATGAAGCTAAAGATGAACTTTACCGTCAACTCACAAATATCCTCCGCAAAAAACGCCGCACGGACATCGTGATATTCGTCGGAAACCTAAATGCGCAGGCCGGGAATCTAGAGGTTCATGAGCGCGAAGCGGGGGGTCAACACAACCACGATACTCGCAGGAAGGAAAAAGGTGATCGACTCCCTCAACTGTACGCCGACCACAGCTTGTTCATTACGATCACCAATTTCCGACGTTCTTGGCGCTAACGAGCCACCTGGTGGCCTCCGGCGCCTAGTCAAGCGTGGAGGCAGATTGACCACATCGATGTTAGTTACCGTCGGTGAGGCTGCATAACAGACTGCAAGTCAATTTGGAACACCTGCTTGACTTCAGAGCATGCGCTCGTGTGTGCTAAGGTCGTTCTGCACTTTGGAGACAGGCAACAGCGTCACCGCAAATGGTTTGACACAGACAAGTCCGCTGCCGCATATGTTCTCGTGGCATTGCAGAACACATTGGACTTCAACCTGCATCCTCTATCTTCCGATGTTGAGATACACTGGGTAGAGATTCAGAGCGCCTTACGAAAGTCCGCTGCCTTGGTCTATGGCTTCACTAGACGGGCTTCTAGTTATTGGATCTCCGCATAGTCTCTCCAAATAGTGGAAAGCCGTCGAACACTTCCCGCCGGAGTTGAGTACAACGCACTACGCAGAAGCACAGGTGTTGAGCTCACAGCTTCTCAGGAAGGATCGCGAGATCTGGTGGACACGCGTCGTTGAGATGGAGCGAGCGGGCTCCACAGGAAACTCCCACAAACTCTTCCAACTGATCCGGTTCACAAGAAGCAGAAGACCAAAAGCTAGTGAGGTTTTGTGTGAAAACGACGCCGAACTAATTTATGGTCGTCACCGTCGTCTGGTAAGATGAGCAGAGCAATTGGAAGATCCGTTCAACTGGTCACCAGGACAACTGAATCTATCTTCCGGGATTTACAG